AATTTGTCCTTTGTGAAACAATCACAGCTCAGCATCATTGTATTGTCTGTGTCCAAGTGTTTTGCCTGTTTTCCTAAATCTTGTTGTATTGCATGGATCTTTATAAGCCGTTCTAAAATGCTTTTATAGGAGGTGGACATAAATAAGTTAATTAAATCAGTTAAATAAAGGTATTTGGACTGTTGTGTGCTAGACATGTGACAGGAAATACTGATATTAGCACAGGATTGAACCACTGCCTGGGGTAGCAGGGCTTTGAGGTTCATTGTCAGCCACTTGCTGACATCCTTGCTCATCCTTCAAGGTCTAATCCAAGGACCTCTTCTTCAGAAAGCCTTCCCTGGTCCCCCCAGATAGATGTCTTTCCTTGATCACATTGGGCCTTATATTGTTGGGCAGTGACTTGCCCTACCAACCTCACCCTTTGTATGCCTGGAATCTTCACAATGCCTAGAAAGAGAAATTGCCTTGAAATGAGTTATTTTTTTAACAACCTTACTGATATCATATAATTATCATGCATAAACTGCACATATTTAAAATGTACAATTTGATAAGTTCTAGAATATGCATATATCTGTAAAACCATCACCACCATTAAGATAATGAATGTATCTACCACAGTTTGTTTAATCATTCATTTGTTGGTGAACTTCAAGGCTGTTTCAAATTTGGGGCTGTTGAAAATAGAGCTGCATGAGCGTTCATGTAGAACTCTTTGCGTGGACACATACACTTTCTTTCCTCTTGAACACGTACCAAGGAATGGAATGGCTGGGTGATACGGTAGGCGTTTCCTTCATTTTTTACTAAACTGCCATACTGTTCATTTTGCATTCTTAACAACAGTATATGGTGGTTTCAGTTCCTCCACACCCTCCCCAACACCTGGTAGGGTCAATCTTTTAAATTTTAGCTATTCTAATAAGTATGTCATGGTATCTCACTGTGGTTTTAATTTGCATTACCTAATGACAGGTGACGTTGAGCATCTTTCCACATGCTTTTTCTTTCTCTTTTGTCAACTATTTATCTTTGTTGTCTGTCCAAATCTTTTGCTTATTTTTTTAATTGGGTTGATTTCTTACAGTTGAGTTTTGAGTATTCATTATATTTTCTGGATACAAGTTCATCTGATATACAGGACTTGCAAATACTTACTCCCAGACTATCTTGTCTTTTCATTTTCTAAGGTGTCTTTTGAAGAGCAGAAGTGTTTAATGGATCCAATTTATGGATTCTGCTTTTGGTGTCATATCTAAGAAATCTTCAGATAACTCAAAGTCACAAAGGTTTTTTCTCAGGTTTTCTCTGAGAAATTTTGTAGTTATAGATGGTATATTTTGGCCTATGGTCCATTTTGAGTTAATTTTATGTATGGAGTAAGTATGCTCCAAGTTCATTTATTTTTCCATAAAATATGCAACTGTTTTAACACCAATTCTTGAAAAGATTATTCTATCTTACTAAATTGCCATTATACCTTTGTCAAAAATCAGTTGCCCATGTAGGGGTAGGTCTTTTTCTAGTTTTCTGTTCCATTAATCTATTTGTCTATTTTTACATCAGTACTATCCTGCCTGATTGCCATCATCATTGCTTTATATAATCCTCCAATTTATACAATCCTTCATATAATTTATGTAATCCTTTGATGTCCCGACCTGCAGGACTATCAACGGGGGTCGACGACCTGGAGGAGAGAATTGAAAAAAAAAAAAGAATGGGGCAAGGGACACAAAGAACAACCAGCCAGACAGGAGGTCTGATCAAGCTGGCACAGTTTATTGTTTACAGGCTCAATTTATACAAGTAGCAAGTAAGGGGTGGGTCAGGAGATAATTGGACCTTAGGTGGCGCCGGCGGGAACAGAGGACCCGGAAGAGAAGCGGGGAGTTCTCCATTTTGGGGGCGGGGGAGGTGTTTCTTGCTTAACAAAGGACAGAAAAGGCACTTGCTGTGAGGTAGCCTAACCACTAACTCTAACTTAGAAATGCAAATGTTGCTAGGTAAATTAACCCCAGCTCTAACCTAGAAGTTCACTAAATGTGCTTCTTAGTAATAGGGGAAAACTTGTTTCTAACGCGTGGATGGGTTCATTGTTGCTGACTTTACAGGAAAGATTTTTAGCCGATTTTACAGGAAAGATTTTTACTCAAAACGTTGCTGTTGTCTTAAGGCTTTTGTGACTGAATCTGCTTAAAGGCCCACAGATTTGCTCCCAACACTTTGATAACTTTGTTGTTAAAGTTATTCTGGTTATTTTAGATCTGTTGCATTTAAATATGAATTTGAAAGTGAGTTTGTCAATTTCTGTCTTTAAAAAGGCTACTGAAATTTTTATTGTGATTGCATTGAATTCATAAATCAGTTTGGGGAGAATTGATGTCTTAATATTGAGCATTCCAATCCATGAACATCGTATATCTCTCCATTATTTAGGTCCTCTTCCATTTCTCCCGGCAATAGTTTGCAGTTTTCAGTGCAGTGATCTTACTTACATCTTTTGTCATTATTTATCCTGAAGTATTTAAAAATTTTTTATTCTTTTATGAATAATTCTTCTTTCAAGTTCCAATTGTATGTTGCTGGTATATGGAAATACAATTGATCTTTATATGTTGATCTTATATTCTCTTATCAAATGAAACTTTCTAATTAGTTCTATAGCTTTTTAGAGATTCCACTGGGTATTTCTACATAGACAGGCAGAACATCTACGAATAAAGACAGTTCTATTTCATTTCCAATCTGGATGACTGCTATTTCTTTTTGAATTGAGGTTTAAGGGTCCTGGAGGTACAGGGACCTGAATTTTAATACCAGCTCTGTCATAACTCACTGTGTAATCTTTGACAAGCCACTTTCCTACTCTGAAACCCCATTATCCTGTAAAATGATCTGTTTGTTCTCTCCCACTTCTAACCTTCAGTGAGACAAAGAATGCACTCTGAAAGGTATTAGTTGTAATCCAGTTTCCTGCCTCCAGGCTTCTGAGTCTTACCCTCTTCCCGTTAAGCGGCTGACTCACTGGGCACCTGACAGTTGGGTTGAGCTTCACCATTTCTCCTCCCAACCTCCCAGTGAAATAGGGGAGTGGCTGTATTCATTCTTCCACCATTTGTTCTGCGGCCTCTAGTTGGTAAGGCCCAGTCTGCAGGGTGGGTTGTCTGTTTTCTACCAAGTCCAAAGACTTAACTTATTAAAAGATTAGCTGAGGGACACACACCTAGAAAAAGCAATTTCATTTAGTATCCTTAAAATTTTTCCTTTTAACATATCCCATTCTCTTGCTTGTGAACTCAGTCCTTATTGATAATATAATATCATCCTGTGCTGGGATAGGTAGTCTAAAAAGCTGGAAAGACATATCCCTGTCCCCTAAAATTCCAGCAGAGGAATGAATGGTCCATTCACTCTCGCTGTTGTATGGGAGAGGCAAGGGAGATAAAGTTATATTCACCTATGTTGTAGAAGGCCCAAATCCTTGAAAATAGGGAAGTTGGGCAACCCTAACCTATGGTGAGCATGAGAGACATAGAGACCTTTTTTAAATTCTTTTGAATCACCCTGATCTGAATTTCATCTCTAGGTTTGAAAGACGCCCTTCCTTCTAAGAAAGAGCCCACCTGCCACCAGAGGGAGGGCCTATCCAGCCTCCCTGGCATCCGGGTCATCCCCTAGGCAGCCGTCACCAGTGAGATGGGCTCACCTCAAATTCTAAATCCAAAGCCTGTGATACAGGAAAGAAGCAAATTCCTTCTGGCAAGAAGCAGCGGCTTCATGTGATTCCCTGAGACAGACAGTTTCTAGAATTCAGAATCATCTGTTCCCACTCTTTCATTTTACAAATGCAGCGCGGGATAAATAAAGATTAACCAAACAAGAACAGGCATAGGCTATTTATTCAGAGCTTGCTATAGCAAGAAAATCAGCCATGCTTGCATGTGTTCTGACAGAGACTCAAATGCTTACAGGAGAAAACAAGAAAGCTTTGGGGATGCCTTGATTCAAAGTTGTCGGCGTGAAAAAGCTGCCAGTGGACTGACTATAAGTAGGACAATCTATGTGATGGGTTAGAAGGGCATTTCTAGCTTCTTGTTCATATTAAGTTGGAAGTGAAGACAAAAATTAGGGAAGCTTCAGTCATTAGTCAAGCCCTGGCCATTTGGGACCAATCACTACAGAGATTATAGTTTGGTTTCTTGGGCCAATTGCTCAAGATAGTGGTCAAATAAATAACCAAGAGAATTGAGAACGTATGTCCACACGGGAAGTTGTACACAAACGTTCACACCAACATTATTCACAATAGCCAAAACGTGGCTTAGAAAAGACCCTAAATGTCCAGCCACTGATAAATGCATAAACAAACCGAGGTATGTCCATGTAATGGAATATTCAGTCACAAAAAGAAATAAAGTATTGATACATGTGACAACATGAGTGAATCTTGAAACATTATGTTAAGTGGAAGAAGCCAGTCACAAAAGGTCACGTTTTGTGCGAATTAGTTTACATGCAATGTCCAGAATAGGCAAATCCGCAGAAACAGAAATTAAATTAGTAGTTGTCAGAAGCTGAGGACAAAGGGAGACTGGCCAGTTGGGGAGTGACTGCTAATAGGTAAGGGGTTTCTTTTTGGAGTGACAGAAACGTTCTGGAATTGATGGTTGTATAACTCTGTGAATATGCTAAAAACCACTCAATTGTATACTTTTTAAAGGGACTTGAAGGCTGAACTTGATGGTATGTAAATGACAACTCCATAAAGCTATTATAATAAAATAAAAGCAATCTGACTTTGTACAAGTCTGACTTGGAGACAGCAGACTGGCTTCTGGGGCTGGTTACTGTAGAGAATGGGTTAGTTTCTTGGGCTGCGCATTGTGGATCAGAGTTATATTTTTATACATAGTCTAGCCATGGTCCATGTGTACAGTCAATCTCTCAGCAGAAAGTGAGGCCCAGAGAGGCAAAGTGGCTTATTAAAAAGTCTAACAGCTAAGAATAACCAGAGCTAATAGGAGGCCAACCTGAGGTTTAGCAAATTTACCTTGTCCAAAAGAACTTACATTCTGCTTGTTGAGGAGACCAAGATTAGACCCAGGGAAAAAATGAAGTTCAATACAGATTTCGAGATAAGTTGCACCAGGAATTTATAGCTCGTGCTACAGCTTAGCAGGAATGTGCACCACTTTCCTCTCCAGGCAGAACCACTGATCTGTGCAAAGACTTTATTGATCAAGTACGTGCTCCCTATGTTCCGGGCATTCCAGCCAGCCAACAAAGTGAAGTGGTAAAATGCATGGTTCTCTAGTCTGCCTACTGTATTCACATTTTATGTCCACCATTGTTAGCTGCGTGGTCTTGAACAAGATACTGGATTTTTCTGGTCTTCAGTTTCCTCATCTGTAAAACGGGAATAATAATGGCACCTGAATTGTAGTGCTTTTGTGCAAATTAAGTGAGCTGACCCTTGCCACACACTTAGAACAGTACTTGATACATAATAGGTTCTTGTACAAGTTCACTAGGACAACCTCATTCAGTCCTCACATCAACCCAGTGTGTTAAGCAGGATAATCCCCACTTTGCAGGTGAAGAAACTGAGGATAGTTAGGTCACCTGCCCAAGATAGTGAGTGTCAGAGTCGGGATTTACACTCATGTCTCTGTGAAGCCAAAGCTCGTTTTTCCTTCCTACTGTGCTTCTGAACACAAGATGCCACTGTTGGGAATGAGGACAGCAGACTGGGAAAGCGTACAGGGCTGTGGTATCAGGGTGCCCACTTCCAACTTTTGTTTCTATGCTTGCACAAGTTATTTAGTATCTCTGAACCCCTTATCACTTGCAAACTGGGAGTAATATCACTTACCTCACAAGGTTGTCCTAAGGATTAAATAATGTATACAAAGTTCCCAGTGCAGTGTCTGGTGCATGATAAGTACTTAGTACGTGACAACGATCATTTTAATTATTGACATTGGAAGTGACAATCATACACCATTCTTTAGGGTCTTTCCCTCAGTGACCTACCTTCATGAATTTTCCCTTAGCCCCCAATCTAGCTTGATCATTATTGGTTATGAATTTCCCATTATTGGTACTATAGTAGGTCAGGCAGATAGGAGACAAAGGTCTTAGAGGAGAAGACAGGCCCCGTGAGGGGGAGGAATAGGCAGGCACAGAGGTAACAAGTCAGTGGTAACATGGTAACGTGGAGCTCCCTTGGCCCAGACATCAGAAGACTCAAAAACGCTCTTCTGGGGTCAACTCTGTGGGTCAACCTGAGATACACCCAGATGGGAGACGCACATCCTTGGCAGGTAAAACTGGACTCCTTATTGCCATTCAATGGCTCATGGAAGAAGGAAGTGTTCTAATTTTAGAACTGAGTTCAGCAAAGTTGGTTTCTCAACAGTTCACTGAGAGTTGAAGCCAAATTGTTTGTCAGACTGGGTCAGAGAAAACCAGGAGACATGCAACTGGAAAATATGATAGAAGAAGGATGAGATGGGGTAAAAATCTGGTGGAAATGGGTGATGATATGCAGAATGTGAAAGCAGAAAATGCCTTGTTTTCAAAGGAACATAAAAGACCATCTCCTCCATCGTCCTGAAAGGTAAACATTATCATCATCCTGCTTTCCAGAGGAAGAAATTACACTGCAAGAAGCTTAAGCTTTACAGCCCAAATTACTCGGGTAATAAGGGTTCAGTCATGACTTGAATGCAAGAAAAAAGATCTGGAAAAAGTGCCACTAAGTGTTTAAGAGTAGCTAACTGTGGGTGATAAGATTATGGGTGATTTTTATTTATTTTGTTATGTTTCCCTATATTTTCCAAATTTTCTCTGTTGGGTAATTGCTGCTTGTACAATGAGAATTCAAAAGTTATTTAAACTTCATCAGGGCCCAGGCTGAGGACTGGGAGCAGAAACCAGTGGCAGTAAGAGAAGCCAGTGTGGGAGCCAGGCTACCAGCCTCGGTCCGCTGCTCCTGAAACTGTGAAGATCAGACTCCCGAATTGGGTGTCCAGTTCACAGTGAGGGGGGAGGAAGAAGGCAAGCAACCCAGGCCAGAATTCTGGCTCTTAGAGCCCAGGGAAGCTCAGCATGAGAGGGGCCTAGAAAGAGGACGCTGATGTATTTGGTCATAAAGAATTGACCCAGGAACAACTTAGCCACGAAGCTGGCCAGAATCCAAACTGGGAAGGCCACAAAGGGGGGCTCAACACTACCCCACTCTACTGTCCTCTTTCCCATACTCATAACTGCACTTTGTACCTGTGTGTTCTTCAACCTCATAATAGAGCCTCTGGCCCATTGTAATTTGTGTTACAATCAAGACTGCTGATGCAAAAGCGAGAGAACCTAAAGTGAGAAAGAAAACCGGGGTACAGAAAGGACACTGTTCAAAGCCAATGAGGTACAAGCAGGCATGACTGATGCCCCTCACTTGGGCACAGTCCCTCTATGTGGAGGGCTGAGCTGTGGGATCACAGATGGGAGGGAATTAAGAGCGGGGAGTGCATTCGGTAGGAGAGAGAAGACCCAGGTGCCCACCTACACCTTGCTTCCCCAAAGGACAAGAGGGCCCCGTGTAATATGGATCAAGCTCACCCCCTTCATCATTTCTGCTCTCGAAGCACTTTCCAACTCCAGATATTATGCAAAGAAGACTTTATTCGTAGAAATGCATTTTGGCCACACAGAACTCCATAGCTGGGAGATAAACATGCACGGGCTTGGCGGGGAAGGGGGAAGGGAAGGATCAGTAATTCTGAGACAATTTCTCATCAGAAATTCTTCTTCCACAACCTCCACTCAGTAGCCATTGATCCAATTTTAAATGTCTCACAGAACATTGGCAGCCATAGACATGTCCTTAATTTAATAACAATGCATGACGCCTCTAGCCATTCCTCTAGAATTTAGAGGGTTTATTTACTGCATGAAAACCTGCTCTAGTCAGGTTATAAATATAATCTGTGAATTTCTTTAAATCTTATCATCAAGTATAAAAATAAATAAGTTAAATAGAAAAAAATAAATAAATATATTAAGTAATAAATATACCCAGCGGTAGAAAAGGTATTACCAAAATCTTATAAAACCTTGGTCTAGATTAAGAGTGGGAATGCATAAAAACAACCACAACAAGGACACAAATAATAAGTAAATAGTATACACAGTGACCAGCACTAGACTATAGAACAAAGAGGTGGTGATTCGGGGTCATGCTTCTGCAGGTACGGAGGTCTGGGACCCTTGGCCAGGGATACCCTGAGCAGCGTCATTATTCCGTACTTCCTCTGATTCCATCTCCTCCATCCACTGCAGGAGAATGTCTAGCTCCCCCAAAGCCTTCACCGCGGCTGCGTGAGGCGTAAGCTGAAAGACACACACGTATGTGGTGAGTAATTCATAAGGCGACAATGTGGACGCAGCTCTAATCCTCTCCTTTCATGGGAGGTCTCCTGGGGCACTAAAGGCAACAACATTCTTTTCAAAATGAAGAGCTTGAAAGAAGTTATGGAACCCGAAGAGCTCACAGAAGAAGGAAAATCACCGAGTCCATCACCCTAGTCATACTTGGGGAAACTGAGGGCTCAGGGGTAGCAGAACTGGGATGGCAACCCAAGCCTTTTGAATCATAGGATTAAACTAATGAGACTGGGCTTTTTAAAGAAAGGAGTGTGTGTGTGTGTGTATAAGGGTTGAGCATACTTAGACTGAAGAGATATTTATGCTAAGCATAGGGCTGGCTGGGTACTCAGAGGCGAATGGCACAATCCCCACCTACAGGGAACTCACAGTCAAGGGAGGGAGAGAGGCAGATGCAGGGAATTGAACAGATGATGGAGTTTCTGTGGAATGATAGAGTTAGTAACTCAGACAGAAGGAGCCAGGACCTTCCTGGAGGGGATGCCTATGTTTCAGGATGCCTTGAAGACTATGCCTCGTCTCCAAGGATGAGTTGGTGTTAGTGAAGAGTGGACTCCAGGCTTCCCCAAAGACATGCAAAAACATTAAGGTGAGAAACAGTATGGCACCAGCATGTGTGACACTGTGTGACTGTCTTTGAGGGTTTGTGTAACTACATGAATGTTGGAAATTATTGCCTCTTGTTTATGCAGCTTGAAGAACTGCATGTCTCTGGAGTGACTTGATGGAATCATGGCCATTCCCTCTTGATTCCCAGAGCATCTTCCAGAGATCACACTCTTTTAAGAGCCTGGGTGGGCATCCCCTGGTTAGAGCAGAGGAACAGTCCGCATGACCTCAGAGGGCTATGGACCTGAGAGCTACAGTATGAATACTCATCCCACCATCTCAGCTGCAGAAACACACCCTCCCTGCCAAGTCAAAATTGCATGTACCTCTTCGAAGTGACTCAGAATCTGGCTGTATTTCTCCATTGCTTCATCCCCGCAAGGGCATGTCATATGGGCATGCTGAAAGAAATGCCAAAGAATGATAGATTTTTGTTTAATGATGATTAAACGTTCTGATTTTCTGCCCTTGCCATGGACAAGAAGTAAGGGGGACCTCTACTCTTTCACCTCTGTTCCTGTAGATACTCTGTTCCTATGGAAAAGTCTTTTCAAACCTCATCATTTGGGATCATTACACTAGCCATCAGCTAGAAGGGGAAGCCAGCTTTTTGGCTCAAATACCTCTGCTTCTTTTTAGAACCAGGGGACACTGGAGGGGCTTGTGACCACTGTATCAAAGCTGGCCTGCACCCCCAGCCCCAGCTCTAATCTAGATCCCTCCCAGAGAGCCCCCAGGGGAAGAGAGAATTGGATTCCTAAATCCTATTCAGGCCCTAACTTGAGAAAGAGTTCAGTGGTCTGCTGATTGGCTGTTTGGACATGGGACGCATCATTACACTGTAAGATACATCATCTACAGGAAAAGTGTAATTTTGTGAATGGGCAATTATCACTAATATCAAATAGCTAGCATTTTATAATTCCTTAGACTTTTAGCATGGAGAATATACCTAAAAGTCAATAAACCTGAGTTCTTATTACCTAGTCACATGGCCCAGCATAGATTATTAGAACTTTTGCACCCAGCTTTTTCCATCCATTAAACAGGGGTGAGAAGGGGCTTGGTTACTAAGTCACTGAAACTATGCACTGCGATGGGTCTTTTTACCCAAGACCTTTACTCACACAGAGCCGGAGGTCCTTCTTGATCATAAGAAAAGAGTTGGCAAGACCGCTGATCTTCCGAAGGATATGGTGGTCAGGGGTCTGATAGTATTTGAATATCCTGTCCAGGTAGAGTCTCAGTATGTGGCGGAGGACGCAGCACTGACCTGCAGGCTGTAAAGAAGACTAGTGTGTTGGTAGGCGGAGGGTGTCCAGGGGCAAGACCCCAGGGGATGGAGATCCCCCGACGCATACTTCTCCCAGAGCTCAGACTGGCCGGGCGCATACCTTGGTATTCTGCAAAGACTCGGTCTTCCTCAAGATTCTGATGTCAATGATTTCATCTTCGGCTTGCTTTGGAAGAAGGCAAGGCAAGAAAGGATAGGTCAGTGATGGCTGCCAGTGTCTAGACATCAAGACGTCCCACCCCCTCCTTGACCCAGCCCAGTGGGCAGTGTCTCTTTCCAAAACACTTAAATTACGGGCTACAGATGTTTCCTGGGAATGCATTCTCCTGGTAGGGAGTCCCCAGCTGGCCTCTTCGTGTGATCACACTGCCAAGCTGCCAGGGGCCAGAGAAAGACAAGCAGAGAAAGGAAGAGGCAGCCAGGAGGTGGGGGGGGGCCCTGACTCGCATACCGCACTGTCTCGTATCCCAGAAAAGCCATTTCGCATTTCCTGAAGGTTTGCGGTGATCACACAGCTTCCCAAATGGAGTGTCTTTAGCCCAGCCGAAGGTGTCCAGAAGAGGTAAAACACAGCAGAGAGAAGGCAGAAGGGAAGACCAGGGCATTTCATCTTGTGCCAGAATCTGGAGACCACAGGAGCTAAGAATTGAAAGGAAAGAGCAAAATTTACTGATTACCCCATCTCATGTATTAAGAAGCCGATCCAGTCACCAGGGACATGCCTCCTCCAGGTGGTTTCCGATGGTTTCCGATGTCAGGCCCGTGCATCTAACATCTAACTTACTCTGAGGAGTCTCCTGGAACAGAAGTCTTCTGGTCCTTGCTCAGGTCTGAGTGTGAGTTGGTACAACGGGTCCCGGCTCCTTTATTCTGTCCCCATCCCAACCCTATCGTCATTGCCCAGCAGGTAAGGCCCGGAGCAGCAGGCATTTGAAGTGAGTAGAGGATTACACTTCAGGGAAAATGTCAAAACTTGTTTTGGCAAATTGACGTATAGAATTTTTCCTTCCAGAATGCCAGTGCAGCTCACCCTTGTGGTCTCCTTAAATGTGCAGAGGAACAGGGGGAAAACAACATCTGTTGCTGTTGCTGAGCCACTAAAAACACGTGGGGATAATTGTGTGGATTTTATGGCCACCCCCAGGGCAGAGAAGCTTAGCCCTGATCAGCATTTGTCTGGGATCAGATGGGTTATTTGGGGATAATAAATTTATTTCAGCCCCAAAGGCAAATAGAAAGTCAATGATTTCATAGCAGTCCTATTGCCAGGAAAAGACAAGATCTGATGGGCAATCAGCCCGATTCCACCTAACACTTCTCTTCCCTCCAGGGTTCTGGGCTCAACAGCACCCTCTACAGGAAGACTGTGGTCAAGCACACTGGGGTAGAATCCAGGAGTACACTACTCTGCAACTCAGGCCAAAGGCTTAATAAGTGATCCCCAAAGAAAGACAGAGATGGAACTCATTCCCTCTTGCGGTGAGGCTGCTTTGTAAGAGAGCACTTGGTCGTGTCTGCTGAGTTTTTAGGTAAAATGATGAAGGGCTGAGATTAGAATGAGGAGGGTGAAAGCACTTAACTCGGGCACAATATTTAAGGTCTCAGTAATCAAGCACTATTTTAATGCAATATCAAAATGAATGAAAGAAACCTATGATGCACAATATATCAACATTTTAAGTAAAGACAGAATCTCACACTGCCATATTGAGCCACATTTGCAACAAGTTGCCATCAGTGTAGGTTGTCTCTGTTTGTCCAGGACTGAGGGGAGTCCCAGGACACAGGACTTTCAGTTTTAAATTAGAAAAGTAAGTAGATGAATGGTAAAGAAGAGGTGATACATATACACAATGGAATATTATTTACCCATAAGAAGAAAACAGATCCTACCATTTGCAACAACATGGATGAAGATAGAGAGTTTTATGCTCAGTGAAATAAGCCAGGCGGAGAAAGACAAGTATCAAATGATTTCACTCATCTGTGGAGCATAAGAACAAAGCAAAAACTGAAGGAACAAAACAGCAGCAGACTCACAGAACCCAAGAAGGGACTAACAGTTACCAAAGGGAAAGGGACTGGGGGCGGGGGGTGAGAAGGGAGGGATAAAGGGAATAAGGGGCATTACAATTAGCACACATAACGTAGGCAGGATGGGGGTGCACTGGGAAGGCAGTATAGCACAGAGAAGACAAGTAGTGACTCTATAGCATCTTACTACGCTGATGGACCGTGACTGTAATGGGGTATGTGGTGGAGACTAGATAATGGGGGGAATCTAGTTACCACAGTGTTGCTCATGTGATTGTATATTAATGATACCAAAATAAAAAAACAACAAGAAATACTAGAAAAGTCATTGGTAAACCTGAATGAGTTAGTCACCCTACCTGTATGTGACCTTGAACAAGTCAATGTACCTGTTTTGTTTTCTTAGCCCCAAAATGGTGATAATTAAAATTACCCCAGAAACTAGTTTTGATATTTAAATAAAATGGTGTGCAATTTATACACCTAGCACAGAATGAGTGAGCAATTCATTTTAAATAGAGAATGATGTTGATTGACTTGAATATAGTGGATGTCTAGTAAATACATGCTAAATTTAACAGTTGAGTCAGCATTTGCTGAGCCCCCAGTATCTTGAGTGCCATGCTAGGTGCTGGAGTACAAAGGTAGACATAATGACTCCTGACCCTCTAGGATATTCTGTCTACATGGAAAGGGCTTCTTCAGATGTGGCCCTGAGCACACCTGGGCAAGTGATCAGAAGAACTGGGTAGATGCCCAGGACTGTGTGAATAGTGTAGAGGGAGGGAACTCTTCTTACCTGAACTCAGGAAGCGCTGCTGCCCTGGGCTCCTGGGAGTCTGCCTAAAGCAAGAGGCTCCCAGTTACTTAAATATGGCACATGAAGGAAGTGAGCACCAGCAGGTGACAGATGAAACTCCCCTGGAATTTCTCTGGTGGCATCACACTCCCTTCCATTCTAAGGCAGCCTCGTTTCAGGCGGGGTAAACTTAACACCTTCCTCCCCTAAGAAGCCTCTGAGAAGCATTTAGGTGATTATTGGCTAATCTTTGAATGATAAAGGTTGTGCGTCTTTCTGGCTCCCTTCCAGAAGGAAGATCAAATGGTAATTAGGACAGAAAAGATCACTGCATTACAGGACTGGAAGAGAATTCCAGGAGATGCTAGCCCCCTCTCCTGAAATCCAGACATTGTGGGCCCCCTCCTGCTGTTTCTCCTTTGGTTTTGCTGTTCCCACCATTTCTCCCCAACAGTGGCCACTTTTATCTTCCCCTATTATCACTAAAGAGTGGACCCCAATTCTTTATTCCTGATCTAGTAGAGCCCACACCAGTCCCTTCCCCCGTCTGGCTTCCAAAAGCAGATTTTTCTTGGATACAAGGGATTGTCTCATGTTGCCCTCTGTTTCACGTGCTTTAGCTTTTTCTCCCTAAGGATACCACAGATTCTCTTAGACAGGGACTAATCTCCAGGTGAGAGCACACTTCTAGACAAGATTAAACCAGATCCACTGAGATTAACTACAAGCAATACACTGAAACCTGTCAATATAGTAGAGATTACAATATATTCATTTTTAAATTCTTTGCTACTTAATATCTAAGGTTCTGAAGCCCTGTGTTTGAGTCCAGGATTCTATAACTCACAGGATCATTTTGGCATGCTATTTTATCTTTCTGGATTTCAGTTTATGTAGTAATACAATGTAAACAATAGAATAGATCGTGTATAAGATCTTTTCCAGTTCCAATATTCAATGCTACTGTGATTCTTTGCTTTTTCTATCTTTTGGATCAGAACACTCTTCTTTGAAAATTTCCTTTCTTTTCTTTATTGAAGTATCATTGATATACAATCTTATGTTGGTTTCAAATATACAACATAGTGGTTCAACCGTTACCCATATCATTAAATCTTTGCACCCACCTGTGTGGTTGCAATCTGTCAACACAGAAAGATGCAGGACACTTTTTTTTAAATGTCTTCCTAAAGTTCATTGAAAATGAAGACCAAAATGTTTCATTGTAATGCTTGATACATATTGAAAATATGTGTGAATATCTCATCTAAGTATCTCTTGAGCTCATGCCTATTTTTCCATCATTGATGCTAAGTAAACAATTTCTCATGATCATCATAACCATGATAAAAGTAACATTGAGAAACATGGTCTGGCAAGAATACTTGAAATCAAGACTTCCAGAAACTATAAGCTGCTCCCATACCAGTCAATTCTTCTCCATTGACCAAGAAGAACCCAATTGCTTTGTTAAGTTAGCTGTAATGATCAAACTTTATGGGTGATCCCAATTTTAATAATCTAGTCTCTCCTTTCCTAAGTATCAAAATACTTTAAAATCTATTGAATAGATCCCATTCCATACTCTGTACAGACACCAATTCAACTCACCTCCTCTATAAAACCTTCCCTGCCTCACCCTAACCTCTCTCTCTCTCCACCCCCATTTCCCAAGCAAAATTGGACCCTCCCACCTGCGGACCTCTGCTTTACCTTGTATATATTCCTTTTTACTTATGAGACTCAGTGGCAATTTTTTGGTTGCATATCTGTAACCCCCACCAGCCTGAGAGCTTGTTCATCTTCATGCACACAGCACTCAATGGCGTCTGGTAGGTGATCAGTTAAAATTGATTACTGCATGAGCATACTGATTTAAAATTGTTCTTCTTTATTTTATATTATACCCTGAGGCCACAGGAGCTCAGGCTCGGCCAAAGTCAAAATTGGAGAGATATGAAACAATTAGTAATCACCAAACAGCCTAAAATTAGAGCCAGATAAAAAGATGGGGAGATGAGCATAAAAGATAAAGCTGGTTTGAGGTCAGAAGTAATAGCAGTCCCATTAAGGAGTTTGGACTTCATCCAAAAACAAGGAGTTATGAAAGATTTTGGCAAGGAGCAACAAGATTAGATAGAAATCTACTTGAAGCCGTTGAAATTAAAAGAAGGGAGACTGACTATTGCAGTCATCCCAGAGAGAGATTCAATTGTGGCCTGAACTAGCAGCAATAGAGAGAGAGAGATGTGATGTGGGTGAACTTAAGATAATTTAAATACATTTTAAAACCATTTGGAGACTGACTGTGTAGGCTCAGGAGGAGGAGTCAAGGATAGTAGAAAAATATTGCTAGGTTGAACCACACACAATTTCCATCTATTGTAGGTCAAGTCTGGTCTGGTATTGGCAGTCATATGATTCAACCTGATAATTACTATGGTAACGCTAACATATACAGTATCCTGTGCCCAGTACCTGGGTCTACATACTAAATGCTCTATACATTGTAATCATCATATATGCAATATGTATAACATACAATGCAAACATTTTATTACATATATTATATCCATATTCTAATCCAATTCTCATAAAATCCCACTGAGAACATAAGCTTTAGAGCAAGAATTTTGTCCATCTTACCCACCCCTTCATTAAATACCTGGAATAATGTTGTCCATCTTATCCACTCCTTTATTAAGTGGAGTCTAGTTCTTAGTAACCTTTTAATACACACATATTAAATATTCTCTCTATGAGGCAAGACTTAGAACCAAATTTCCTCATGAAGAACCTTAA